ATTAATTTTACAGTACTAGGAATTGAACCTAGGGCCTTCACACTGAGGAGCTATATCCAGAGCCCATATCTATCTATCTATCTATCTATCTATCTATATAGATATAGATATATATAAATATAAATTTTGAGACAGGGTTTTGCTAAGTCTTTCCGTTTCCCAGGCTAGGCTCAAACTTTCAATCCTACTGCCTCCTCCTACTAAAGTGTGAGATTACAGGTATGCACAACCAGCCTAGCTCATCTTAACCATTTTTAAATATATAGTTATGTGCCATTAAATCTAGTCACATTGTTATGTAATAATCACCACCATCCATCTCCAGAATCTTTTATTTATTTATTTTTTTGTACCAGGAATCAAACTCAGGACCTTGTGCTTGCCAGGCAAGTACTGTGCTGCTGAGCTATATCCCCAGCCTCTCCAGAATCTTTTAAAAACTAAAACTCTATATCCATTAAACTCTGTACTCCTCTGTCCCTGGAAGTCACCATGCTACTGTCTCTATGATTTTTATAACATTAGGTACCTCATGAAAGAGAAACAAAATATTTGTCTATTTTGACTGACATTTCATTTAGTGTAATATCTTTCATTTAGTGTAATATCCATGTTGTAACATGTGTCAGAATTTCTTTTTTTTTTTTTTTTTTTTTTTTTTTTTTTTTTTTTTTTTTTTCCGGTACCAGGAATTGAACTCATGACCTTGCGCTTGCTAGGCAAGGCGCTGTGCCACTGAGCTAAATCCCCAGCCCCTAGAATTTCTTTTTTAAGGCTGCATAATATTCATCTTGGATGTATAGGAATATATTTGTGTGTCTATTCATTTATTGACATTTGGGTTGTGTCCACCTTTTGGCTATTTTGAATAATGCTCTTATGAACATGGTGTACTTAGACTCTACATCTTTTTATGTAATTTATTAAAACGTTCATCAAGTGAAGAAGGACTTCTTGCACACCCTCCCTGAGATAGCACCTTTGGTTGAGGTGTTCACAGTTTGGTTCACACTCATAAAACCAAGGATACAGGCAGAGTATGATTAAGATGCCGAGGGGCATTGTGAGAATATAGTTAAGAATGAGGGGACCTGAAGCAGGCAAGAGAGGACACAACTGCCAAATTATTCATAGCCAAGGTGGCTGAGGTACCAAGGTTCCTGTGAAAAAGTGTATTTTGGTTAAACTCAGCTATAGTTAAACATCCATGGATTCTTTAAGAAGCTACACATCATGAAAATACACTGTTAGGTGTGTGTGTAGCATCTGACACCCTTGCCTCAGGCTCTAAATAATTCTGTTACTTCTGTTTCTGCAGTGAGGCCTCAAGCCCAGGCCTGGGCTGGCTCCCTTGTGAGCTTCCTGTCTCTGCTGTTTCACCCCGGGCTTATTGCAGACCCCCGTTTCCTTTTCTTGGGTAGCCAGGGACTAGGACTGAGCCATAGGGTGGCTAGGTGGCTTTGGGAATCGGGAGATGCTCAGGATCCAGGCTGCTGATCTGGAAGCAGCTCTGTAGCTTCTAACTCATGTCTTTCTCTTACGGCTTGTTGAGTCTTTACTGCTGGCTGTTGTTTTTCCCTCTCCCTAGCCTTCCTCCCCAGGGCCTCACTGATTGGCATAGCACCGGAAGTTCCAGGGCCACTGTTTCAATACAAGGCTCAAGGCTCTGTTTATGAACCACAAACACTTACCCTTGGTCTTTCCCATCTGCGCTTGGCATTCCAGGAGTTGTACTATTTTGTTTTTTCAAAGGTCAGGTCCTGTAGGGCTTAATCTGTCTTTGCTGTTGGAGCTCTGGGCGACAAAGCAAATGTACCAGAACAGTCTGGCCACGTCGGGTGGAGAGCCAGGCCTCTTGGCACATACTCTGGGTCTGGCATAAGCTATAGACCATGGCACCAGCAGTCCTGTTTGTTCTTTAGCCCCTGGCAAAGCCTGAGCAGATTGGATTCCTGTCCCAAGGAGCACGGCTGCTTCCTCCCAAGCCTGCGTGCACTGCGTCTTGGAGCAGCACATCCTGGGGAGCCTTCTCTCCTGTGTTCTCGTAGTTACTCCATTACTGCTCCCCTTCTTCAAATCCATTTCTTCTCCCTCTGGTGAGCATGATAGCACAGTTGTCTAAGTACAGTGTAATTGCCATGTAAACAAATGGCTTAATGATAAATACTTAAGCATTTTTAGACACTTGATTTTCTTTCATGTCCAGAGTTTCCAGTAGAAGTGCAATTAAACTCTAATGGTGCAGTGGAAAGGATTTGGGACATCAGGGGGCAGGTGGAGTAGATGCAGAGTGTGACTGACCTAAGAGCCTTTGTCAGCAGCACTCAGGTAGTTGTGGCAGCTGTGACTGGACCCAGCGGACTGTTTCTTGCCTCTCTCTCTCCTCTTCATTTTGAAAGACTCCAGAGCATTCCACCAGCTGTTGAGAAGAGCACCTGTGTTGTCACTGTCATTGAGATTCTGGGAGAAAATCGGGTCATACTTTTTTGTGTAGTCACAGTTACTCATTGACCCTGTAGGAGCCATCTGGGAATCTGTGCACGGTGATCAACTAAGAGGCTGTTTTCCAGCTTCAAAGAGAATGAGTAGTTGCATTTTGAGTTTCTAAGATGAAGGTGTTAAAAGATGCGATAAGTTTGTCAAAACATGAACTGTAGAAATAGCTAAGGTTCCAGGTATACAAGCGAGGAGCTGGCTGGGCACTTCTTGCCAGGCGTGAGGGATCCTGATTACATGAATGTCCTGTAGAGAGTGAAACCAGCAGGGAGTGGACGAATGCCAACCACAAGATTCTTCTGGAAATACAAGGCATTCAAGGGTCTGGTCTATCAGGTAATTTATGCTCTAAAGCCAGGGCTAGGAAGATGATCTAGTGACTTGGTGAGAGCTTAGATACTTGCTATTGTTCCTTTGATTTTGTTGCTAAAAGGGAAAGAAGGAAGTGTGTGGAGCACGTGAGGGTGACATACTGGGATCAAAGGTGAGGAAACTGCTGAGGGTTTTGTCCTCCTCTGGGTGTTTCCAGAACTTAATGCTCTTAAATTCCTCTGGAGTTCATCAGAATGCTCCCTTCTGCAGGAGCAGCCTGATTGTGCAACTTGTATAGAAGGAGGTGCAGCTGAAGGTTGTATAGGCACAAGGCCAACATCAGCCAATCCACAGAGTGCCGTGCTGGTTCCCCCACCCAGAGGTCACTTCAGTTCACCTAGCACTGCAGCTGAGCAGAAGTCTGCAGTCGGGGCAACACACTGCCAGGTGGTCCCCAAGTGCATGCCCATCAGACCTGACTCCGGCCTGCAGTGCTCACAGCCACTGACCTAGAGTGGAGTGTGTTAAGTGGCCAAGACCCTGTCTGAAGCCAAACTGCAGCACAGAGAACTCTCCCCTGCATCCTGCCTGTGGCCTCTCTCTCTGTCTCTCTCTCTCTCTCCCCTTCCTCTGTGGTCTTTGGTTTTGGGTGCCAGGCTGAGGCTGACTTTTGCTTTGCTCCCTGTGTCTGTGTTTGCTCCTCTGCTTTGCCCTTGCTCCAGGCCTCCTTGGTAAAAGGGAGAGCTGTGCACAGTGTAGAGTGATGAGATGGAAAAGTGACCACCAGACTGCGAGTGATTTGAGTTGTGAGCATCTGGAAACTCAAATCCAGAGCCTTCCCTGACAATGTAAAGGTACTTTACCCCCGTTAGCAGGCTGTGTGCTTGCCTGTATGCAGCAGCCTGCCAGCAGGCATCAGCACCAACTGTACAGCGGAATAAGAGCAGCGCTGAGATTTCACTAGAAGGGTAGACTGCAGACAGTGAAGATCTACAGATCAGAGTGTTCAAAGGACTGCCCAAAGGAGGAGGGTGTGGATTTCTGATGATATTTTCAAAGTAGCCTATGCTTTCACTTTGTTGGCATGAATTGCATTTATTCCCATCAACACACCAACTAGAAATAATTAGGTTTTAGAAGAAGCACCGGTAAGGAGCTGGGTGCTTCTTATCAACCTCAGATAGTGGTATAGTCCAAGAAGGCCTTGAGTATAAAAGGTCCCAGAGTAGAGGGGCTGTGGGTTGGCTTTGGGTTTTGCGTTAATTTTTTAGTCTGCAGCTCAGATGTCTGATTAGAGAGTTTTCCCAGTGAATTTTCTAGGTGCCAATACTAAGATGAGGACTAGGTGGAGACCATATTAATAAACTGGAGAAGTGCTCAGAGTAGAGTTCACTGAGGAAAATGCAATTAGATCACAAGTTATGAATTAGCTGTGTGAGCATAAGAGAGGCTGCAAATATGCAAATGTAACCTAAGGATTTGGGATTGGGGATGAGGCAGATGTTCTCCAGCTGTGCAGAGCTGTGGTTGGAGCCTCCCTGTCCAGGAGGACAAATATGAGTTCGCAATCGAGGGGCTGTGATACAGTGCCTCCTTTGTGATTATTGTTGGTCAGATCTTTTCTAGATTGCTCTCCAGCCCCCAAATATCAGGCTGATGGAACTATGGATAGATTTGGAGATTGACCCATAGACAGAGGAATTTAGGAGCTAAACTTATAGAGAAAAATTTGGAATTCAGAATTGCTTTTTCATATCTTCACCAGGGATAGAAGTTCCACCTGAGTTTGCTTAGACACAAGGAGAAATTAAGAGCCATTACATGGTAGAATGAGTTACTGAGGGAAAGTTCTGATATATGTTGATGAGATTTTCAAAGTAGGCTATATTTTAATTGCATTAGGATGGACAGATTAGGTTTATATCATTAGGATGTTTTAGGTGTATTTCTCTGGTCCTAGTTGATGGTTGGGTGATAGAATTGATGATCAATCAGGGTCCATATTGTAACCCAGAGATTGCCCAAGTCCCTGACTACAGATATCCACCTTGTTTCACATGTCCTGAGGTACTCCCTATGGCCAAGAACTGCACCAGCCCCCTAGGCTTGTCTTTGCCAGGCTGTGGGCTAGCTGGGGCCCTGCAGATATGCTGACTGAATCCAAGTCTCCCTCTTTGTTCTCTTCTCTGCAGTATGAGTTTAAAGCCAAGAACATCAAAAAGAAGAAAGTGAGCATTATGGTTTCAGTGGATGGAGTGAAAGTGATTCTGAAGAAGAAGAAAAAGGTAAGTGCTCTGAACCAGAAATTTTGTGAAAAGGGAAGCAAGGAGGCCTTTTTCTTCTGGAAAGCAGGGGTACCTTTTTCTTCTGGAACATTCTCTAGATAGAATGCTCTCTTACAGTGAGGTCTTCCATTTTGACCAGTAGCAGTATTGATAGGTACAGTGGAGCAGAAAGTGAGGCAGCGGCACTTGGCCTGGTTAGACAATTGCTCAGTCCTGGTGATGGGTCATCTCCCATCGTTCTTGAGTTCAGAGACCCTTCTCCATCTTGACACCTTTACCTTTGAACCTTGACCATGGGAAGTACTTCCAGTGTAAGTGGTATATGTCGAGTACCTCATTCTGAAATCCAGAATGTTCCAAAATCTGTAACTGTTGGGGTTTCATGTTGGCTCTCAAAACATTTTAGATTTTGGAGAATGTCAGATGTGGGAGTTTTAGATGTGGTGATCCTCATAGTGGTCTATACAAATATTCCAAAATCTAGAAAAACTCTAAAATTTGAAATGGTCTGGTCTCAAGCATTTTGTAATTAGTAATAGGTTTCACTGGGGAAAGAGTCAGGGGAAATGTCTCCAAACTGTCTCTTTCTGTCACTGGAGTAACCTTCAGCCTCACCTGAGGTTCCCTCTACCGCACTGTGCATCCCTGTGTCCTCCTGTTATAGCTGCTGCCCCCTGAGGATATTTTTTCTGCTTCCTCCTCTCCCCTCCCATGTGTGGACACAGTGGGTAGCGATGGGCCATCCTGAGCCTGTTGCCATGAGTGGCGAGTCAATGAGGCAAACTGACATCTCTTAAGTGGCCGGGCTTGAAATTATGAATGACAACGGTGTTAACCTGAGCAGGAGATATCCGCAGAGAAGAAAGGGCAGATGCAACCCAAGCTTGTGATGCAGGGAGACTGGCTTCTGTCCCTTGTGTCAGACTGCTTTACTCAGCCCTTCAGAACGTGAGGGCAGCTGGGGGCTCAGCAGCCTCAGGGACCAACTGATAACATAATTGCCATTTGTGGGCACTTTCCGGGTGACACAGTTCTTTCATACCCATTGGCATACATCCTTCCTCAGTCTTTCTGGACGTTTTTCTTGGCCAACGATTTCTTTACTGACCTGTCCTCTTCCTTACCAGAGGTCGAGTTGTCAGCCTTTCAGGCCACGGAACTCAGACTCACCAGTTTTGAAGCTTTGAACCTTAGCATGCAAACTCACATGGATAGAGCTCAAAAGATGCTGATGTGGAAATCAGCCCAACAGTTTCCTAATTCACTCTGAGCCATAGAACAGTCTCTTCAGCCAGATACTCTCATTACCCGGATGAGCACATTTCCTTTTAGTCTGAGGCAAATGACTGGAGAAGGCAAATTATTAGAGGGTTCTGGGTGGGGAAGTGGGGCACGTTGGCGGGTTATATGACAGGAGTGTTCCCTGACCTCCCGCTGCCTGATAAGAGGCAGCCGCAGTGGCTGTTTACAGTGGCCTTGTTGGGCAGATGCTGTTCCTGGGGTCTGACTGGCATAGCCTACCTGGATTTCCCTCTGCTACTCTCAGTTCTATACCTCCATGGGTGACACTCCCAGGACGGCCCTCTTACCTCAGAGCACATCGTTGCTGACTGATGTGATCTCTGTTTACATTCAGTTAAGTAACATTTCAATGCCTGTTGTCCTGGGAGCGATTCCGTCCTTTTAGGGTAACCTAGTATTCCTCTGATGTTACCCACTAAGGGGTGACTTCATGGATTTTCTCTGGGGACAATCTTTTTGCCCATCTCCATCTCCCCCGTGCATACCATACATGGTGGTATCCCTATTCTCCGTGTGAGAAACAGGTCAGATGGCTCAGGCAGCAGTATGCTGAGGTGACCCCTAGAGGAGACTCTGTCCCCGCCCCACCCCACCCCCAACCAAATGCATGAGAGCTAAGGTGCAGTGGCATCTCCCCCAAGGTGGCTGGGGACTTTGTGACTCACTTTGAAATTCTATGCAGGGGCATCTCCAGTGTTCTGACTGCTGGACTAGCAAGGAGGTGACCCCTCAGGTCTTTCCTGGGCCAGGTTGGGGAAGAGGAGCCTCCTGTCTTGCTTCCTCCACCCGCTTTGGTGTCCATTTCAGGGCTATGGCTGTGATTTGGATAATGCCTTTAATCACAGTGTGCGTTTCCTCTCGCCTCTGCCAGATGAATGCGCATTAGCAGCAATCAGCCTTTTTGTCATCGTGTTCCCATGTGACAGTCCTCTGGTGTCTGAGTGTGCTCCCACCACACTCACACATGCTTTCTCTCTTTCTCTGTGTACAGAGTTGGGGGTGAGAGGAGACAGGCCATAGGATAAGTGCACCATTTCCTCCAAGGCATTGGAACAGTCAGCAAATGTCACTGATGGGGCCATGATTAGGTTAAGTATGGGCACTCTTGCCAGCTTGCCATGGGTGTAGCAACAGCTACGGCTTACACGCAACCTTAAGGCTGTGGTACCACGTGCAACCTGACATTGTCTATGGAGGAGTCGGTGCCTGCCAGGACTGATTGGTGAAATGTGGACTAGTCTTCAGCTAGCGCGCTGGTTTTCACTGGGCCAGTGTGATGTGCTAGAAAGGCCCCATGGTTGAGTTGAGAAGACCCCCTCCAGGCTGTGTGTGCTGCACAGGTTATTTTGCCTCCTTGAGCTTCGCCTATAAATGAAGGCTTAGATTGGGTGATCATTTTAACTTCCAGCTCAGGTTACTTTAAGCCAGCTCTAGAACTGTACTTTTTAATGCATGAGTATAACTGTAAGTTACTTTATGTAGTCAGATTTTGGGAACCTATTGGGCTACAGAGAAAGGGACTCCAGAGGCTGAGCTAGTAACTGTTTTGTTTGCTTCCAATCTTCTAGGCCAGGAGGGGACCCTCTGAGGGCACACTTTCCAAAGCAGCCACCTGGCTTCGTCTGTCTCCTCCTGGTATCAGTGGTCCATGAGGCTGTGCTTCCTGGATGAGGAAAGAAGTATATTTGCAGGGAGTCCCTGCCCTCTAGCGAACTCTTTGAGAGCAGAGGCCATCCTTGTAAGCCTTTTTGTCAGGGCTTCCCCTGCACGTCTGGTACATGTAGAATGTCCTCAGGGGTTACGGCTGTTAGTGGCTGGATGAATGATCTTTATTTGTGTGTGATCGTGTCATTAAGTCAGGAAGAAATAAGCACTTAGCAGTGGAAGTCTACTGTATTTTTTACTTTGAATGATCACATGCTGTTCCTTCTTTTTTCTCTTATCAATCTGTCAGTTTAACCAACAAGAATCAGAGCCTTTCTCAAACACGGAAAGGTTGCAACAGAAATTGCTAATTTAGAAGTAATGGGCTTGTTCAGGTGGTTCTGATCTTCAGGTGCATTCTACCAATGCTGGCAGTAGCCGAATATATTATAATCATCTCAGTGAGATGTAAAAAACATCTTTTTTGGTTATATTAGCAAGTGTCTAAAAATGTTCTCTTCTTGAACTGATGCCAGTAGATAATGAATCATAAATTTCTTCCAAATTTTAGGTTGAATTTGTGATGAGAACCATTTACTAAGATAATTAGCTCTGCTTTGATGTCTCTCAATCAGAGCATTTTCTTCAGCTCCCAAGTAGGCCTAAGTAGTTATCTTTTCTGTGGATATACTAATGATCATTATAATTCTGGTGTCACATGGAAGCATCATTTGTAGGGTGTGGAATTCTGAATAAGAAAAATTAGTATTGAAGGATTTTTCTACTAAAGGGACTAATAAGCCAGTAACTTTGTTGCAGTGCCCTAAGACAGTGGTGGTGAACCTATGGTACGTGTGCTGCAGCAGGCTGTTTGTATCACTTACAGCTCTAAAACATTAGCCTTCACTGCCTTAAAATGACATTCTGGAAAGACTGTGTCCTAGGAACTGTATAGGAGATATATATGAATATTAGATGTGGACCCTCCCCAGCAAAATTAACTATTTTAATGGTACCTTATATGTACATGGGTCTACCACAGCTCATAGAAAATTGCATTAGAAGGGTTTTGTTTTTTATTTTTGGTTTGTTTTGGTATAGGAGATTGAATCCAGGGCCTTGTGCATACCAGTAAGCACATGCTGTATCACTGAACTGTGTCCTCAGCCTAGCATTAGCGTTATTTACGTCTTTTCTCCATAGGTTGTGAGCCTTTAGGGCACAGGGAGCAGGTCCTCTCTGACATCTTTATCTGTTGAAAAGATGGAAGGAGAGAGGGAGCAAACTGATGGACGTAGTTACACTAATGAGAACAGCTATAGTAATAGCTGACGCTGATATCGAGCACCTACTGTTTTCTAGCCTTGTTTGACACACTATATACTTATTAAATCCTTATACATTCTCAAAGTAGGTACAATTTTTAGGCTTATTTTGTGAAAGAAGATTGAGTAACTTGCCCAAGATCTCAAGTCCCATCAGTGGTGAAGTCAAGGCAAGTTAGAGTTCAAACTAGGTCTGTTTGCTCAAATCCTTTGGATTCTTTCCATTATCATGTTGCTGTGCGTGCGTGCGTGCGTGTGTGTGTGTGTGTGTGTGCACACCCTAATATCTTCACTCCTTAAGATAAATGCTACACTATAGGAAATGTCTCATTAATAAATCCAGGATCTGTATTTTCTAACCTATCACAGGAGACTGTTCTCTCACCCATGCAGAAATGCTAGTTACTATGGAAGCACAGAACTAAATCTAACTGAGCAAGAAAAAAAGCAGTCAGAATTCTAGAGCCAGAATTTAGGAGAAGAGACTTGAGAAAGGACCCAAATGATCCTTGAATTGATTGGATGTGGGAGCAGAGGATGAGAGGGGTACCTTGAGTGTACCTGGGTTACCTAGGTAGTTACTGATAAGGCCAAAGTGAATCTAGACCCTAAACATAGTATAGTCTTCTTTCCACCATGCTGTGCTTCTTGGGCCTGTTTATTTCCTGCTAGTTTTAAAGTGAACATATTATGAGTCATGTGTATTGCATGAGGAATTCTTAGCACTCCAGTTTTCAAATACACTTTCTTATATTCTTAGGTTTTACCTAAAGATGGGAGATACCTTTATTCTCAGTGTAATCCCCTTCTACCTGGAAGCGCAGAGAACTTGTCAAGCTGAGTTTATATAACCTTTGCAAGGTTTTCTTATTTTTGTTTTTAAAAGAAGTCACCATTGCTGTTAAGTGTGCAGATAATGCTGGATGGATAAGGGCCAAATTTGCAGACTTAGGAACATACTTATTTATAATGCTTTGCCTTAGGCATAATAAATAAAGGCCAGTGCGGATTGCTCCTCTTCTTTTGGTTTCCTAGGGAAGGGCTTCAAAACGCCATATCCATTTCCAGCTTCCAAAATGAGGCAGGACCACTGTGATGATTATTCCTGACTCTCTTTTATTGAGTTGGTGCTGTTCCAAGCAAACCCAACTCCACATAACATTCCCTGCCAGCAGCTTTGGGAGTGACAAAATGGCTGTGAATTTCCATGGAGAACTTGACATCTGCACTCAGTAGATGGAGGAAAGACAAGGTCCTATAACAGTGATGGCAGATGTTTTAGAGCTTTCAATGCTAATACACAGCCCGCTGTGGCATGCATGCCGGAGGCTCCTCACCACAGTCCTGTAACAGGGATGTGCTTACCCTATTCAGAGGGCTTGCATAAATGCACACAGCAAACAAACCTCCTTTACTCCCTTCCTCTGTTGAAAGCAAAATGATTCTAGACAGTGGGCAGTGACTTGGATTTGGATTGCTGGGAGTACTGAAGAGGACATGGGGTCTGAATGTAGAAGTGATGTGTTTTATTTACCACTGGACTAGGGGGTCTTGGGGGGAAATAAGTTACCCTTGAACCTCGGTGCTAGCTTTTAAGGTGGAGGTCGATTTTAATAATGTAAAACAAGTTAGATAGAAGCGCCTTCCTTAGAGAGAGCAGTGGACTTTTTTTCCCATATCAACTAAATTGAAACAGGTAAAGATGAGTTTCCTTTCTCACTTTCCATGTTAGCCCGAGAAGCAGGTGCCAAGACAGTAGTGACGGGCTGGGGGAGAAAATGGGGAGGCACCTGGGAAGGGCAGGGACAACTGTCAGACTTCAGGCAGATTATGGGGCCTCATCAGGACCTACTGTGTTCCTGTCCCAAGAGGTAAGGGCAGGCACTGTAGTATGAAACAATTATCTCTACACATGCGCGCGCGCGCGCACGCACACACACACGTACATGCTTTTGCTCCTGAGAAAACGGTGTGCCTATACTTTTCCATGTTCTTCCTGATAATACAACTGAAACCCCTGGACAGCGTATAATAAAACAATCACCAAAAGGTTCTGAAAGGTAGAGAGAAAAGCGTCTGGCTAGGAACGCTGAAATCCCAGGAAGTGAGGAGTTCTGAAGTCCCTGAGTTTCTTGTCACCTTACATACCCTAGACTCAGAGCCAAGGAATTGTTTGCCAACAGGAACAGTGCAAAGTCCTCCCTCTCTGTGGGCAGACAAGGAGGAAAAGGGTGGCACAAAGAGGCCCAAAACTTTGAGACAATCGCCACTCTTCCAGCCAAACAACACAGAAAACCCTGCCTTCCACCACCAGTGTGGCTAAGTGGGAAGCCAGACTCCTGCTACTGTGGGGTGTCAGGAGGGGCCCACTACCCCCTGGGGTGGTGTTGGAGGAGGCTGAGAAGAGGCTCATCTCTGCCAGTTAGTAGTAAGTTTCTCCCTCGCTGCCTCACCTCTGTTCGCTGTGGAGAACTCAGTAGTAACAGTGTCGGGTGATACTGCCGTGCTGCTTACTGCCAGTAAGAGACTGGTGGAGAGTGGGGACAAGGCACCACCGTCTCACTGGGCCTCTGGAAGTCAGAAGCCTGGTGGGAACTAGAACTGCCCTGCACACCCAGCAGTCATGAGAGGCCCCTTCCCTCTGAGATGTCAAGAGAAGCCAAGTGGGAAGTTGGACTTAACTCTCCCCTGGCGGTGACAAGTGCGTCTTCCCTTTCCCACATTTGAACAGTGTCACAGGATGGTAATTAAAACAGGAAGTGTGACAAATGTGTAGAGTGTTATAATACCCAAAAGGTCGCAAGTGAAATCAACTCACCACATCAAGGATGGGAAAAACCTGAACTTCTGAGAAAAAAGACAATGAAAAAAGGTCTACACTTGCTGTATTTACATACGTGAAGAGGTTGCACTTTTACTTAGGAAAGGGATCAGTGTCCTTGTTTTGTGTTGTCCCACATAGGTCATTTATATATTAAAATGTTGTAGGTTAGTGAATTGTAATTATAGAAAGGCATTTTTAAAAGTAGTTAACTTTTAGTTATGGCTGAAGGTTTGTTGTCTGTAAAACAGTGACTGAATTGATTGATGTCGGATGCCTGTAAACGTGTTTAAATCCACCTCGTGTTTTGGATTGGTGTTGAATCAAAATTCAGAGATTAAATGCTGTGTATGTACATGCACTCGTGTGTGTGCAGTGCTGTGTTTGGGTAAAACTGCTTGTGAAGTGCTTCTTGATGTCACCCTAAGGGCCTGGACACAGTCCTCTCTAATTTCCTGGACAATATCCAAACACTGATATGTTTTGAGAGTGGCCAGGCTATACATTCTTATCTGAGAATCTACCTGCTAAGAGCACCCTATCCATTCTATTGGAGAAATCCTTCTGCCAAGAGCACTCATTAATACAATATACAGTAATACCTTGGTTCACAAATGCTTCTGTTTGTAAGCAATTCAGTTCACAAACAAAAGCATGTGGCGAAATTTTGCTTTCACTCACAAACTGCATCAGGTGACAAACATGACCATGGCCATCTTCCTTCCCCACACAAACACAAACGAGGTACCACTGTATACTCTCGCTCTTCTCCCGTCTTCATTCTTTCTTTCATAGATGAGTGCATTCTCCCCCAGTCTCCCTAGATAGCACTGTCTCTGTGACAAAGGCCAGTGAAGGTGGAACAAGATTCTCTGCCCTCATATCTGAGGGTCAGATCTGAGGGGCTGTGGTTGGCTGCTAGCTTAACCCCAGGTGCTTCCCCTAGCCCTCGAATGCTTCCCCACAGCCTTGGGTGCTGCTCACCTCCTCATGCACTGCACTTTGAATTTTCTCACTCTCATTCCTTTCCATGTCCCTAGCTGCTGGGGGAGGGGAACAGGGGGGTGTGAATCCCTTTTGTGTTCACAGTAAACTAGGATCTCAGCAAGAATGAATACCCTTTCCCAAGTAACATTGCAAATATGCTAGTTAACTTACATAGGACAATAAAAAAGGTGAATATCTAAATTTTTAAAAACGTATTAGCAGTTAAAAAAAAGTTGTCACAAATCCATCTCAGAATACTCCCCCTTGCTTTGAACACACTTATCCCATTGTTGTTGCCACTTTCCGAAGCAGTTCAGGAAGTCTTCTTTCATGAGTGTCTTCAGTTGGGTTGTTGTGGCTGCTACAATATCCTGAGCTGGTTTAAAACACTTACATTTTATGGTCATTTGACTTTAGAGAAAAGCCAGAAGCTGCATAGTGCCAGATCTGGTAAATAAGGTGCATGAGGACACACTGTAATGTTTTTATTTGACAGAAATTACTGTAAAAATTTGATCAATATTATGATAATTAAATATGGTGAATGTTTAAATTTATTACAGTAAAATGCACATTGCCATTTAGCCCTCTCAGAATGCTCAAAATACAGCCCCCCCCATTTGAACACATTTACCCTGTCATTATTGGCATAAAGTGTCTTTACTGTAAGTTTTTTAAAATTCAAACATTCACCATTAGCTTTGGCTCACCTCTCATACTTGGCTGTGCAGAGCCTTTTTGTCCCTTTAAAGGAGAGAAGATGGGATTACATTTCATTTGCATGAAATAGCATCCTACACATATGAGCCTTGTATTTGCTCCCTTCTCTTTTATTCACCTCCTCCCCTGCTCCAAAGTGATGTATGATCTGTCTTTCTTGTGATTTCTCTAAGATATTTGATTTAGCATCTGCTGTGGTCCCCTGAGGCCTCCTTGGCTCCTGCTTGCTATCTGTGCCCTGGAGAGACCCTCTTAAAGTGCTTGAAGGAGATAGATCAGACCAGACACAGGACATTTTCCACTTGTCCTTTTAAAGCAATCAACTCTGGGCCTCTTAGAGGGGAAAAAAAAAAATCAGGCCAGGAGCAAAATGCATGTGTTTGCATAAGCATTAATAGCTCAACGTGTGCCCTGGTTCTGTAGCTGAGGACAAGCCTAACTTATTCATTTATAGCTTCTTTTATTGCAGAAAAAGGAGTGGACGTGGGATGAGAGCAAGATGCTGGTGATGCAAGACCCCATCTACAGGTAAGAGTCCAGCCCAGCGCTTAGGAAAACACCTAGCCCCAGGGGTCACTTGCTGTCTCCTGCAGTCATCTCCAGCTGCTGAGTCCAGAGAGACTTAAATAAAACTCTGCCTTTTCCTTCTGAGACCTGTGGTTTCTGTCAGGTTAAGTACAAGAAGTAAGTCTATGCTATTGTTAAGACAGCGAGGGACTTTTGTTTCTGGTGATGTTGAACTGGACTACTTCTGGGTGTTTAATCCAGCTCTCTCAGTTGTAATTGGAGACTTTTTCTATTTGTCCTAACTGAAATTGTAAAACTGCATATGTGCTGGTCATGAGAAAATGAGATAACTGGGGTATCCCCCCTCCTTATGCTTGGTTTCCCACAGTGGATGTCTCTTCCACCTTTCTGCCCTTTCAGAAACTGAGTAGAGAGAAAGGGTTTATAAATACTTGGGAAAGTAGAAAGTCACAAATGTAATCTGGGCTGTTGTCTGAATGTTTATGTTCCTCCAAAATCCATATTTTAAAATCTTAACCATCAATGTGATGGTATTAGGAGGGGGGCCCTTTGGGGGCTGATTATCAGGTGAGGGCAGAGCCCTCGTGTTTAGGGTTGGTGCCATTGTAAGAGAAGCTCCAGGGAGCTAGCTTGCCCCTTCCACCATATGAGGACACATCTGGAACACACTGTCTATGAACTAGAAAGTGAGCCTTCATCAGATACTGAATTTGCTGGCACCTGACTCTTAGACATCCCAACTTCCAGAATGGTGAGAAACAAATTTCTGTTTCTCTGACCCACCAAGTTTATGGTATTTTATTACAGCAGATTGAACCTACACATACCCAAGAATTGCTTTCATAGTAAGACTGGTATAATTCCTACAGAGCAGTGAGGGAAAACTGTTTAGAGCTTCCAATGATAACGAACATCCTGCTGCGGGATGCAGGCGTGCCGTAGGTTCCTCACCACTGCTCTAGAGGTTTAATAGCGTCCATCCATGTGTATTCCTCTGGGCGTAGCAGCAACATACAGAAAATAAGGGCTCTCTTTGGAAGTACAGCAGGACCTTGAATCGTGGCCATCATTCTGAGCTAGATCTCTGCAGGCCAAGTTCCATCTCCCCACTACCTCTTTACTGTTTTTCTTCCACTGGGAAAATGGCCATTCTTCAGGGAATTTAGCAACCTAGGATTTAAATTTTGCATGTGCTGCCTCCTAAATTCATTATTGCCATACCTTTGTTTTTTTTTTTTTTTTTTTTTTTGGGTTTTTCTCCGGTACCAGGAACCGAACTCACGACCTTGCGCTTGCCAAGCAGGCGCTTTTGCTGCTGAGCTAAATCCCCAGCCCCTGCCATACCTTTGTTAACAAAGGATTAGAACTCAACTATGAAGTTGGCAACAAGGTGGCCCTACCTTCTGGTAGGTGCCACGAAATGGAATATTCATTCATTCAAACACGCAAGCATAAAATACCCATGCGAGGTGCTGCGCTAGGTAATCTAGTAGATGACTAAAGTGAGTGGACTCTTGGCCTCAGGGAGTTTTAGGCTTGTAGGAAAATGGACATTGGACAAATCATTATGGTACTGTGTCTCACCAACTGAATTTCTCTTGTTTTCCTGTTATATGTCTCAGTACTTATTGAAAGGGTTGTTATGGTGTGTTGCTGTTACTTCTGGTTTATTGGTTTATTAAGTAGGTCATGCTTGCTGCAAGACTGTGAGGATCTTGAAGGGAATGACTACATTCCACTTACTTTTGCGTTTTTAGTGCCAAGCCCAGGCCCTGCCCATATGAGGCACTTAATAAATGTGCAGTGGGTGAATGGATAAATGCTTTGAATTAATATCTGAAAGTTAGCATAAGTAGTGTGGTGCTTCATAAGGGGAACAATTGCTTTCTACTTGAGTGATGAGAAAAGTCTTTAAGACACAGTTGCATCAGAACTAAACTTGAAGAATGTAAATGGACAAACCTTTTGCATTTGCATTTTGTGAAAAGGAAGATTTTTAGGTTCTTGTTGTTGTCTTTATATTTTTACATTGACACTATGTACATTAAAAAATGATTTTTTGTAGATGCTGGCCATGAGTTTAATTTTGTCTTTTGCTGGTTGAAAAAAAGGACACTCCCCAAGGTTTTTCTATATCTCAGGCGAGCAGCTGGCTTATTTTTTAACAGCTTTGTGGAGGTACACCTGGCATGCAAAAATCGAACATCTTTAAAGTGAAAAATTTGCTAGGTTTTGATGCACATATGCACCTGGGAAACCCTCATCTCAGTGAAGGTGATGAACATTTCTGTTACTCTCAAAAGTTTCCTTGTGCCTTGGGTTTCTTCTTTCCTCCCCCGCCCCACTCCACTCCCCAATAAACCCACACCCTATTATTGAATTCTGTATCCTTTATAAATTCTAGATGTAAGTCCTTTATCAGATTTATGGCTTACAAGTATTTTTTCCACGTCGGCCTTGTTTTTTATGTTAATAGTGTTTTTGAGAGAGTGAAAGTTTTAAATTTTGATGACGTCCAATTCACCATTTTTTAAATTTCATGGATTGTTCTTTTGGTGTCATACCTAAGACAGCTTTGCTAACTCAAAGTCATAAAATTTTTCTGTTTTCTTCTGGAAGTGTAACAGTTCGGGTTTTATGTTTAGGTGTATGATCTAACTTAATTTTTTTTTTCTGGTGATATGAGGATTGAACCTAGGGATTTTTACTGAGCTGCAGCTCCAGATCTTTTATTATTTTTTATTTTGAGACTGGTTCTTACTAAAGCATTAATTTTCCCAGGCTGAGCTTGAACTTGTGATTTTTGGATTGGTATTCTATTGCATTCACATAATCATCTTAATAATTAGCTTAATAGTGATCTTTGAAATTAGGTAGCAATACTCCTCCAACGTTTTCTTCATTGTCAAAGATTTCTTTCAGTTAGTATTCATGTTACGTGTACTTTCCCATCTCCTCACTTTAAAAAATAATTTTTTTGTTTTGTTTTGAGTACCAGGGATTGAACCTAGACCCATTGCACTGAGCTCCATTTCCCAGCCTTTTTTTTTTTTTTCTTTTTTAATTTTGAGACAAGGTCTTGCTAAGTTAAGTTGCCCAATCTGGGCCCATACTTTGTGATCTTCCTGCCTCAGCTTCCCAGAGTACTGGGATTACAGGTGTGCCCCACCATGTCCAGCAGGAATACATATTTTTAATGAAGAAAACATTAAAGACATTTTTTAAAAGACACTAAAAAAAAACAATAAAAATGATGCAGAATTTCAAAACAAGATAATAGGAAATTAACAATGGTTGTTATATTGCATTTTATTATCTTCCAAGTAGTTGTTCAGATTACCAGATAGAGGCATGCAAAGTTAATCAAACAGTTAAGCATTAACTGTTCCATTCAATAAACCAATAGAAATTAGTAGTACTATCATCTTAGCTATCTTGTATGTGTATATATATATATATTTTTCCTTTCCTTCTTTCTTTCTTTTCTTTTTTCCCCCAACCCAGTTGAAATGAACTTTTTATTGACCCTAAAACTTATACAGTTTACAGCTATCTGGCTGTAGATGTTTTCCTAACCTGCCAGAATTTAACAAGCTGTGTTCATGAAGAAAGAAGTGAATTTTAACCAGTGTGTTTTCACTCCTTGGGTATTGTTTTTCTCCAGATATTACATTACGGTGTTTTAGCCAGTGTATATATAAACTTGTGTATTTATGCATGGGATTAGACAAAAAAATAACCTTTTTCTAAACTGCATATGTTCCATCTTATCAAAGTGAGAGCATTTATTATCATGATAATATGATAACATTATATGAATTTGATAACATTATATGAATTTGATTCAGCAGTGTTGCTGAGGGACGCATAATTGCTTGTGACTTTCATGAGTCATTGGATTTCTGAAGTGTTCACTTACTCTTCTGTGGTGAATTCATTCTCCTTATTCAAGAGAAATGCCTTTATCCACATTAGTAATGAAAATATTTGTTTTTGTTAAGTCAAATTTTAAATTTAAATCTTCTGCATTCCACACGTGAGAGAATGATGTTATCCTCTTTCAGCAATGACTTCCCAATTGTCTCTTCCCCCAGCATCTGATAGCTTTTAAAATCTGGTAACTTCTAAACTCATGGCTTTTTAAGCAGCTAAAAGCACTATGGTGAGTGTCTAGACTAGCCTCCTCCTCACTACAGGATGCCACTCTTTTTCTGAGATTATCTATTACAGTATTCTTCATTAGGTGAAAGCAAATTTCTGTACTAATTTGTCCATTTATCCTAGCTTTTATCTCTGGGGCCACAAATCTATAGTTCTTATTTTCTTTTCTTTTAGTTATCTCAACATCTAGAAGCCATTCTTCATTATATGTTCTAAATTTCCTAATTTCAGGACACACAATGGCTGAAAGCTATTTGCAGAAGGGAGGAATGGGTGCATGAAGAACTGATGTACCTGGTGCAGTGTTGTGCTAGATTCTGGGGAACAGTGGTCTGTCAGTCTGGGTCTCATCAAGAGACAGAACACACATAGTGATTTAAACAGAAGTCTTCTTTTTTTGGCCCTGGGGATTGAACCAGGCCCTTGTATGTGCTAGGTGAGCACTCCACCACGGAGCCACATCCCTAGCCTTTTTTATTTTTTAATTTTGAGTCAGAATCTCACTAAGTTGCCCAGATAGACCTCAAACTTGTAACCTTTCTGTCTCGACCTCTTAAGCAGCAAGAATTATAGGCATGTGCTGCCATGCCCAGTGAGAACTTTTTTTTAATTAGGAATTATTAATCTATAATAAAAGAATACCTGTAAGCTATAAAGAGGAGACTACCTAGGCAGGACAAATAGATGAAGAGCCCCTATCCAATATGCCCTTCAGACATTGGTTACAGCCAATGGCAGATAAATTCACTGGTTTGCCTAGTCCAGAGCTGGTCCCAGTTGCTAGGGAAGCAAGAAGCAGCCCATGTGGGGCCAGGTACAGTTGATCTGCAGCTCATGGG